CAGCAGACATTTCCCTCACGACCATAAGGAAAGTCCCGATGTCCTGCAGCACATCTTCCACACTTGGGGATCACCCCTCCCAATAGATCTTTTTGCCACCTACGACAACAGAAAATGTCACCTGTGCTGTTCAAGAGGAGGCATAGGCAAGAGGTCCCTTGGGGATGCACTGGTAGTCCTTTGGGGCAGACCTCTGCTTTATGCGTTTCCACCTACAGTACTTATACTGAGAGTGCTACAGAAAATCAGAGAGGATTCAGCCTGGGTCATTCTCTTAGCCCTGGCCTGGGCAAGACAACCTTGGTACCCATTTCTCAACAGGATGTCCCTGCAACCACCACGTTCTCTGCCCCTTCTCCAAGATCTTCTCTCTCAGAACCACGGCTTCCTGTTTCAACCGAGACCGGAGACCCTCCATCTAACAGTGTGGCTCCTAGATGGTTTGACATAGAGGAGCGCCTTTGCTCAGATAGGGTGAAGGCGGTCCTTCTGCACAGTAGAAGAGAATCTACAAGGAAGACTTACCTGGCAAAATGGAAGAGATTCGTGGGTTGGTGTAAGAACAGCGACATCGATTCACACTCTTCACCGATACATAAGATCTTCAATTATGTCCTGTCTCTTGATCAAGTGGGTCTCTCCATTTGCTTTTAGAGGTCACTTATCGGCAATTAGCATCTTCCACAGAACCATTGACGGGCATTTGATCTTTGCCCACCTGCTGACTAAGAGATTACTTAATAGAATAGGAAACCTCAAACCTCCCTGAAGACCCCAACTCCCCTCCCCCTTGGAGCTTGGACTTGGTACTAGACACTGACCACCATTTGAGCCTTTGGCCACGACATCACTATCCATGCTTACCATGAAGGTGGTATTTCTCCTGGCAATTACATCTGCCCATAGGGTCAGTGAATTGGCAGCACTAATGGCAATACCACCCTTCATGGTTTTCAACAGAGACTTGATTATGTTATGCACTCATCCTGCTTTCATCCCTAAAGTTTCTTCACGTTTTCATGTTAATGAACCCATTGTTCTTTGTGTCTTCTATCCAAACCTGCATGCCTCTGCTCGAGAATCACTGCTTCACACTCTCAATGTACGTTGAGCTATAGCTTTTTACATTGACAGAATGCGGAGCTGGTGCAAAATGGACCACCTACTAGTATCCATAGCAGACCGCTCCAAGGGCAAACTGTTATCCTCCCAACGTGTTTCTAAGATCATGGTTTCTTGCATCACCACCTGTTACTCGATACGCAACAAATCCCTTCAGACTTTTCCTAGGGCACATTCCACCAGGGCAGTAGCAGCATTCATTGCCTTTGCCTGCAGAGTCTCATTGCCAGACATTTGCATGATGGCCACATGGTCCTCAAATTTGACTTTATGAACCACTATGCAATAGTTCAATGGTAGGCAGTAGATTCCTCAGTGGCTTCAGCAGTACTTTCAGTCATTGACAAACCTTGACTCTGGAAATGCACATGGAGTACTGCTACGTAATCACCATCAGTGGAGCACCCACAGGGACCACTCGAAGAAGAAAAGGAAAAAGTTACCTTCATGCAGTAATGATGGATCTTCGAGATGGGTTCCTGTGGGTGCTCCATGTCCCGCCTTTCCTCCCCGTTCCGGAGTTTTCTTTTCTCGTTGCAGATACCGAACGGTGAGAGGAACTGAGTGGAAGCTGGGCGCATACAACGATCAAAGGGTGCAAATGATGTGAGCTGCTGATCGTGCACGCGCGGCCCGGTTGAACACAGCTATTGAAAGTCTCTGAGCTGCAGCGCTGGGACAAGCCCAACACCATCAGTGGAGCACCCACAGGGACTCATCTTGAAGAACCATCGTTACCGCACGAAGATGAGTAACTTCTTCATTTGAGAACTTACTGTAGAAGGATAAACTACTGAAATCATATTGAGTTTGTAATGATTTGGAAGCTCTCTGCAAGAGCAGGTTAGGCTCCTGTATGGGAGGCCAGTAAGACCACTTCAGTGGAGCCTTAGTGGAATAGAAAAATAATGAAGCTAATCTAACATACTGAAAACTTTGTAGTATGATTTTATTTTTATTTGACTTCATATTCAATAAACATTTAAAGTCATGCACCTTGTTAATTATTCCTTGTTTTAATATCCTTTGTGTGTGTGTGTGTGAATATCTTGGGTGCCACGGTAGCACACATCCGAACAAGCTTACATGACCTCAATATTGGTGCACAAGACAAAACTCACTCCACTCATGGATGGAAAATCTTAGATGGAACATTAGTTCTAAGGAGCTGCACCCTTAACCCCCTCTTCTTTATATGTAACCTCCCTGGGTGATTTCATTTACAAACATGAGTTCATATATTATTTTTGTGCTGACTGTTCACACATTTAGCTTTCTACTCTTGTTCAAACTAAAATTTCATCCGGTCTTCCTGACATTTCCTTGTGGATATCAAGCTCTTGGCTTTCTTCGGTATGCCTATAAGAGAGCTGTTACTCTTTTCTCTGGCTTCAGGGAGTAGCCAAGTTAGTCTGTACAGAGAAAAACAACAAATGGTCTGGTAGCACTTTATAGACTAACAAAACATGTAGATGGTACCATGAGCTTTCGTGGGCACAGCCCACTTCTTCAGATGACCGGCTGTGCCCACGAAAGCTCATGATACCATCTACATGTTTTGTTAGTCTATAAAGTGCTACCAGACCATTTGTTGTTCTACTCTTTTCTCTGCAAGCCCTCTTTCTCAGTCACTATGGACTGCAACCCAATTGTCATGTCACTCAGGTAAATAACCTAAGAATCATGTTTGACTCCCCCTCAGTTATCCCCATATGCTTTTATATATTTGTGCATATAAAGTTTTGTATCAAATGTGTTGAAATTACATTGTGCGTTTTATATGAGGCACTGTGCATTTAAGTTATTAAATAGTTCACAGATAAGAAAGTTCACAGATAAGAAAATTCATATTACCTGAATGTAAAAATGTAAATGTACTCCACTCATATATACTGAACAAGGCCCAGTTCTTCGTGTGATTATTTACACTGATACCAATCAGGTGTGTCTGTACTGTGTGCACAGATGTTGGAAAATTTTCCCTTAGCAGCCCCTGTCAGGTCAGCAGTGGAGTCCTCTAGAGTGGTGCCCTTATGGCGTTCTATATATGACCCTGCAAACTCCCCTACACCACTTCAGGTCCTTCTTATTGTTCATGGTGGCACTGAAGCAGTCTCTTACTTGCAATTCACAAGTCTTTCCCTTGTCTGATAATAGCTAATTAGTTTTCCTTCTTATTCTGTTTATTCCTTCTTTTGTTTTATTAATTACTGTAGTTAGTGGAGATAGCAATGGGAGGGACTACTCATACCCCTCGCAAATCCTGAGCTACGGGGCATGCTAGTGCTTGTGAGGAGAGGCTTCACACTCTAGATATCCACAGGGCACTCACATTCTACATAGAATGCAAAAAGACTTTCAGGAAATTGACCCAAAACTTTGTGGTGGTAGCAGACCAAATTAAGGGTCTTCCAGTCTCGTTGCAACATGTTTCATCTTGGATCATGGACCGTATCTATTCCTGTTATGAGCTGGCCAAGATCCCAGCTCTGGTGATTGAAGCCTGAGGTCTCATTGAGTGGGCAACATCTACCACTTTTCTGGCCCAAGCGCCAGTGTTCCCTCTAAACTGCATGGCAGCACAGCTTCACAAGTGATTAATCAGCCCTGCCCACTCCATCAGCTCTGTGCAGGAGCCCTGAGCTTCTGACTGGGCAGGGCTGATTAATCACCTGTGAAGCTGTGTCACTTAGAGCGAACACTTCCAGGTGCCAATCCAGGAGCTTTGCAGAGCAGCAACCTGGTCTTCATTGCACATGTTTACCAATCACTATGCTATTAGTCAGTAGACCAGAGATGATGCAGCAGTTGGCAGAGCAGTTCTCCAGTGATTCCGTAATTCTGACTCAACTGCTGAGGGGAGTGGCGATGGTGGTGAGGGGGGCAGGGAAACTTGGGAGTCACCTGATTGAAATAGATGTAAACAATCACTCAAAAAAGAAAAGATGGTTAGTCAACTTCTTGTAACTGATGTTCTTAGAACTGCGTTGTTTACATCCATTCCACTACCCATCCTCCTTCCCCACTGTGGCCAGCAAGAAGGAACTGAGGGGGCAGTTGAGTCGGCAAGGGTTTATACCGAGCACCATAAGGGTGCCACTCTACAGGGCTCCACAGCCAATCTGATGGGGACCGCTAAAGGAAAAAATTCCTGACGTCCATGCATGTGGCACATGCACATCTAACTGGAATGGACACATCTCAGGCTATATCTACACTGCAGGGTTTTTGCTCAGAAGTCTTTTGTGGAAGAGTTCTTGCGCAAAAGTGCGTCCACATCTCAAAGTGCATCACTTTTGCACAAGAGAGCATCCACAGTGCATGAACACTCTTACGCAAGAAAGCTCTGATTGCCATCAGAGCACCTGTGCTTTTTCAGATAGGCTCTTTTTGTGCAAGAAACCCCTGCAGAGCATCCACACATGCCTTTTTGCGCAAAAGCTCTAGTGCAAAAAGGAGTTATACCTACACCACAAAAAGCCCTCTGTTCTGTCAATTAAGACTGTTGATTTTCTTGCACAAAAATGCACTTTATGTGTGGACGCGCTACAGGTTTTTGCGCCAAAACTTTGTAGTGTAGACGTAGCCTCAGAGAACAATAGTTACAAGAAGGCGAGTAACTGTTTTTTCTGATGGGTGCTAAACACCTCATGCATGGGTGTGAGAATACCCAAATACCATTGGTTTAAGTGGGAATCGAATGCTTTCAGCACATTGCAGTATCAGGTGTGTAGTGAATATTCGATGATAGATTAGAATATAGTTTTGCTAAGAATTTTAAAATAGTATTGTTAAATAGATACATAGCAATGAGGTTTATGTGAAGAAAAAATTAATCCTGTAAAAGTATCAATGTGTGTGTATTATTTTTTAACTAGCTCAGAAATTGGGCTTAATTGAGCCTCCTCCTTTGCCATTAACTACAGAAGAATGGGATAAAGTAAAGCAAAGATCCATAAAACAGGGGGATTCTGTACAACCTTGTGCAATATGTAGAGAAGAATTTGCTCTTCAACCACAGGTATATTTATAACTTTTGGAGTGTATTTTGCATAGTTATTCACTTACTAGTAATTAATTTTCCAAAGTTATGGTTATATTAGAAAAGTTTATTTGGAACAAGAGGGAAAAATAAAGAGATTCCAACTTGAGATACTTGTTGGCTTAATGAGCCTGTTGTATAACTTAGTTTGCTTCACTTACTCATTTGATGTATTTCCATTTTACTTTAGTTCATGTGAATGTGGTACTTATGGAATGAACTGGATTGACAGAACTAAAGTTTAAAGCCTGTACAAGTTCAAAGGCTATGCAAGAACAAATTCAACAAAGGTGTTAGCAGTGAAAAAGTTCCCAGAGCACCCAGTGGGTCTCACAGCCCTCACCCAGAGAAAGGTTCCTGGGTGAAACAGGTCAGAAAACAGTTCAGTCATCATCCAGGCCTCTGACACCCACTGACGAGACTGTCAATCAGAATATAGGTTGTGATGATTGTTTTGGTAATGTAGAGCCATGTCCATAAAGAGTACTGACATCAACTCATTTCACGAGACACTTACCTGTAAGAGAGTGAATTTTAGTCAGCAGTGACCTTGAGTGGATTTGAACTAGTGACCTGGTGTGAAAACTCTATTTTATTATCTTATGGCTTGATTCTGCAAATACTTACTTGAGTGCAAGGGGCTGTAGTAATTTTTTTTTTCATTTTCTTTTTTTTTTTTTTTTTTGCCTTTTACCACATTGCTAACTATTTAAAAGAAAGTGTAAAATTGCACAAAGACAGGTGGGATGGGATAGACTTTGAAGTACTCTGTCCTGCCAAACTCAGGTAGTCTGGCTACTGTTTAGGTATAAGTCTTAATTAGAGAGAACAAAAAATAGCACTTATGAAAAGGGTTAGATTTAAAACAAAAAGGGCCTCTGGAAGTATTTTTGTCCTAAATGTTTCATTAAATCCATTTTTGTTTGCTAGCTCAGTAATGCACAGTACCTGTTCTAGTCTCACTCCTTCCCCACTTTTTTCTTCCACTAAAGACCAACTGCTTTTTTTTGTTGTTTAATCCTGTATCTTGTCAAAATAGAAATCAATGAGTATGTTGAAATTGAAATTTAGTTGCTTTCTGGGAAAGAAGATCAATTTTAATTTTAAAAGTATTTTTCTGCTGATATCTTCACTCTTGTCATTTGGCATTTTATAGCTCTCTCTCCCCCCATTTGCCATGAGCTTTTCTATATGAAGTAGTTCAAAACTAATGGATTACCATTTATTTCTTTGAGTTGTACTTTATTTTTCTAGTTGCCTCCTATAGAAGTTTTTCATGCTGTTTGTTTATATTCCTCTTTTTAAGAATAAAAATTGGAAATATTCAAACTTAGTTTTCAATAGACGTTGCAATGCTACCAACACGCAGGATGGCTAATCTTTCTGCATTCAGATTTCTTTCTTTTAGTTCATATATTTTTGGTTTTCAAAGCTTTTAAACCAGTTTAAATTTCAAGCTGTTCTTGTTTTTTTTCTTTGAATAGGTGCTGCTCTCATGTTCTCATGTATTTCACAGAGTGAGTAGTCCCTAGTTTTAGCATGCAATACATCATTCCTGTATTTTATTTTAAATACTCTGTATCTACTGTAAACATGATTTTAGGTCTTGCAGCTTGACTTAATATCATTTACTGTTAGAAATAATTTACAGTAGTATTCTTGTTTTATAATGGTACATTTTGCATATGAGTGTAATCCACAAATGTTTGTATACTGATTACAAATTATGTACATTGAAGTTTCAGATAGATGGAGTCAAATATTATGAATTAAGCTAAGTATTAAAAGATGTATCATCCTTTTTTTATTTCTAGTAGTTTATTATATAAGTGTATTCTTGTAAATATATGCTATTTTGAATTCATGAAAGAGCAAAAAATGTTCACTTTCCATAAGCTAAAGTGAATTTTGTTTACTTGAGAAAAAATTAACATTACATCTACAAATTGAGTGACTAGTTACATTTTAAAATGTAATATTTTTCTAGGAATGCCTGAAAGCTTTTGAAAAGTTTGCAGGTAAAAAGACCTGTCCTTTGTGTAGAAAGAAGCAGTATCAGACCAGGGTAATACATGATGGGGCACGTCTTTTTAAAATAAAGTGTATAACGAGGTAAGGATTACTTCCAATCGAGCTGTTGTCAATGAACAATATTTATTTTGCTATATAGCTCCAAGTTAAATACTGAAAATTTAGCATAGGTGGGTGCACTGTAAATGTTTAAGAGTGTGAAAAGCAATTTAAAAATATTTCAAATGGTTGTATTTCAGGTAATTAGTAAAATAATTCTTAATTTTGCTCACTTTAAATTTGTGTTTCCATTTGCTGAACATTGACATTCTGTTTTCAATAGAATCCAAGCTTGCTGGAGAGGGTATATAGTTAGAAAATGGTATAAAAACTTGCGAAAAACAGTACCTCCTCAAGATAGCAAATTAAGAAAAAAATTCTTTGAAGCAAAGGTATGTTGCATTTGTTTCTTCAGTCTTAGTTAATGTTCTGTTTTTTTAAAGTCTTCTGTTAAATCAGATGTTCCCAAATCCTCAATCAATCCTTTTCTAGGGGCAAAAAGTGACAAAAGCTAGCTTATGGCTGTGTTTTATATAAGAACTAACCCGTGCTTACCACAGTAACAGTATTTCTTTTCTTTTTATTTTGGATTTTTCTTTTCCTTTTTCATAAAACCTAGGCATGGGCAGTGGGTGGAGCCCTTCCTTCCCCTTTGGGGAGGCTAGCCCCACACTCTACCCCTTTAGCACCCTTCTCTACCCCCCTCCTCCCCCCCATTCTGTGGCCAGAGCCCTGAAACCTACTGGCTGCCTCTTCCTCTGCTGGAGGAGCCTCAGGTTGGCCAAAGCCCTGAAGCCCCTCCATCTCCCTGGAGGAGCCACAGGCCAGCTGCTTCTCGCCTCCTCAGACTCCAAGATGCCCGGGGGAAAAGCATTTCTTTAAGCATTTTATAAATACATTAGAAGCAAGAGGAAGACTAAGGAGAGGGTAGGCCCACTGCTCAGTGAGGAGGGAGAAACAGTAACAGGAAACTTGGAAATGGCAGAGATGCTTAATGACTTCTTTGTTTCGGTCTTCACCGAGAAGTCTGAAGGAATGCCTAATATAGTGAATGCTAGTGGGAAGGGGGTAGGTTTAGAAGATAAAATAAAAAAAGAACAAGTTAAAAATCACCTAGAAAAGTTAGATGCCTGCAAGTCACCAGGGCTTGATGAAATGCATCCTAGACTACTCAAGGAGTTGCTAGAGGAGGTATCAGAGGGTACGTCTAGACTACATGCCTCTGGCGACAGAGGCATGTAGATTAGGCTACCCGACAGAGTAAAATGAAGCGGCGATTTAAATAATCGCCGCTTCATTTAAATTTACATGGCTGCCGCGTTGAGCCGACAAACAGCTGATCAGCTGTTTGTCGGCTCAACGCGGCAGCCATGTAAATTTAAATGAAGCGGCGATTATTTAAATCGCCGCTTCATTTTACTCTGTCGGGTAGCCTAATCTACATGCCTCTG